GTAAGATCCAGGAATGCTGGTGGCTCTGTTGTGGGGTGTAGTAATTGCGGGGATGGTGAAGATGTGTTGGCAGGTTTTGCACTTCTTGTCATGGCATAGTCTGGATCCGTTTGGTGTATTCTGGGCTTGAGGAAGTTTGCTTCTGGTGATGAGGTTAGCGACGTTCGGTGCTTGTTTGAAGGCTAGGATGGGTGGCTCTGGGAAGATCTTTTTAAGAATAGGGTCTCTTTCTAGTATGGGTTGCAATTATTTGAGGATATTCCGTACGAGTTCGAGGGAGGGGTGATGTGTCATAACCAGCGGCATGCAATTTGTGGGGGGTTTTCTTTTGTACTGCAGCAGTTCTTCACGTGGTATCCAGGTGGCTATTTCAAACATGTGATCTCTCTCTGGAGGAGTGTCCTTGTTGGGTGAAAGTCTTTTTAAGATTGGTGAGGTAGCAATCCCAGGTGTTCTCTTCAGTGCAAATTCAGTGGTATCTGAGGGCTTGGCTGTATATTACAGTTTTTTTGGTGTGTTTAGGGTGATTGCTGGTTCTGTGCAAATATGTATGTTGGTCTGTGGGTTTCCTGTATAACGTGGTCTGTATTTTATCATTCTGGATACTGATCATCGTGTCTAAAAAGGAGATGTTGGTGCTGGAGTATTCTAGAGAAAGTTGCATGGAGGGATGGTGATTGTTGAGTTTCTGATGGAACTCAATTAGAGATTGTAGGTTCTCAGTCCAAATGATGAAGGTGTCATCGCTATATCTTATGTATAACAAGGGTTTGATGGTGAAGTTCTTGAGGAAGTCTTTTTTCAGGTGGATCATAAAAAGGTTGGCATCCTATGGGGCCATTTTGGTGCCCACAGCTGTTCCCATCGTCTGGAGGAAGTGTTGGTTATTAAAAGTGAAATTGTTGTGTGCAAGGATGAAGTGTACAAGGTCAATAATATCTTTGGGTCTGTATTCTGATTTGTAATCTTGTTCCTGTAGATATGCAAGGCAGGCTTGGATGCCGTCCTGGTGTGTGATGTTGGTATATAGGTTGGTAACATCCACGGTGGCTAGGAGGGTGTTGCTGGGAAGGTGCTCTATGTTTTTAAGTTTCCGTAGAAAGTCTGTACTGTCTTGTACAAAACTTGCTCTGTGGATGACGAGCGGTTTTAGGATTGATTCAACGAAACCTGATATTTCCTTAGTTAGGGTCCCATGGTTGGATATGATAGGTCTGCCAGTGCTCCCTTGTTTGTGGATTTTAGAGAGCATGTAAAAAGTCCCTGGGTTAGGTAGTGGGGGGATCAAGGTCTGTAGTTTTTTCTTGTAGTCTTGATGGAAATGTTTTGATAGTATTGTTGAGTTTCTTGGTGAAAAGGGGAGTAGAATCTTCTTGTAGTTCTTTGTAGTAGGTGGTGTCAGAGAGCTGTCTGTTGGCTTCCTTTATGTAGTCTTCATGGTTTAGGATGACTATGGCTCCTCCTTTATCTTACTTTTCATTTGAAATCTAGCGTCCTAATTTTGATGACCTCATGGGTTCCCTGTCTCAGGATCTGGAATTCTAGCATATTGTGATTGCATCCACCCAAGTTACCCAGGGTTATCTACACTCTCATGAATACAGGTTTCGGTCTCCCCAAATGATCGTAAGCTGTGATGGCCTACCTGCAGACAAGGTTGGACCACACAAAAGGAGCAATTAATGAAGTCAAATAATTTTCTGAGAGCAGACATTTGCTACTCCTGAGATAGTAATTTCTGAACCTTATAAGCTCTTCCAGGAATTGACCATGGCCTCTAATGATGTCTTGTGGTGCAAATGTAGGCTTTGAAAATCTACCCCCATACATCTCATTATTTTGAATGAAGAGTAGCAGTAACAGGTGGAGACAAGAAGTACTTCTCATGCCACACACTTTGTGGAAAGGTTTTAATTTTGGCTGGCTAAAGGGCTGGCTCTCTGATCGTATAACTCACTTAAATAGTACTGTTCAACACAGGGACAGGGAGGGTGGCTCATTAATGGAAATTGGCATGCCACTTATCAGTCCTTATGGTCCTGAAAAGCTTCTTATCACTCCAGCATACGCTTCTGCTCTTTTAAACAGTTACTGTCAAATCTGTTCCTGGCTCGCACTGACAAGGGGAACAGAGATGTCGGCAGATGCACCTTCTGCAACAAAAATCCTGATATTCTGAAAATGAACAGCAAGTTCCTCACAATGTCCAACTTAGCTGTGGTGCCAAGAATAGTGTGATAATTAGCACCATAATTAAATATACTGGAAAACTGCAAAACACCAGCACACTTCAAACAAGAAACTGGACTAGAGAAATGTGTGAGATACCAAGGCAAAATCAGGCATTAGGTAACCTCTTTGAAAAAAAGCAGAATCAGAATCTGGCTTTTATTCCTTTACTGGTATGAAGGACCATAGGAATAATGATACTGGAATTGATACAAAACCAACAGTAATGTAATATGTCTCTGAATAACATTAAAAACATCTCAACATGATGTGGTAAACAAATAAGTATCTCAGTAACTGTTTAAGCCTGGAGTGGTCATCTGCAAATGGAGAGGACATGGCCTTTTCAGACAGCAAAGAGACTGTAAAAATTTGCTGGGTGTTTTTGCACATTATGCTGCTGCTGGTATCGGAAAAGGTTCCAAATTATGTATCACTTGTCTCTGAGTAACTCCATCAAATTCACCAGAGTTAAACAAGGGGCTTGCAAATTTGTGATCTCTTCAGATGGCTCCTTCTAATTGCTCCAATGCCAGCTACTAAAAAGAATTATTTGCATGACTTGAGGACATCATATTCACTAATTTATCTGCTTTACCTTGGCAGAGAATTGAGGGCCATCTTTGCTTGTAACCACAAGGTCACAATTTATTTGAAGAAAAGAGAGATGAGTTCAGCATCCTTGGTGCCAAGGGGTGACCAATGGAAACTGCAAGCATCAGCATGCAATCCTCCAGCTTAGGCCAAACTACTTTTCTCTGCCTCTGTTGTTCCCAGGCTATTGCTCCGTCAAGGAACAATTTGACAAAACCACCACCCTCTGAGAACTTTTTAAAAATAAATGTTAATAAATGAAAAACCAACTGAAGGCCACTTTACCTTTGGCCTTTCTGAAAATAATCACATCATAAGGCTTTGTAGGGATATTAGGATGAAAAGGCTGGTGACTGCTTGCTTCAACGCCCACGTCTTTATCCTCAGGTGATTTAAAGTTTGGGAACATGGCATACCTGGAGATGTGCGTCTGGTAGGGGTGGGTGACTGGAAATGGCAGGCACAGTTGCCTAGAATTAGTTTTAGATGGAAATAAGAGCAAAAAGAAACAAACAGTCACATAATTTTAAATATAGTCTTCTATTAATATTAAAACAAATATGCTCTGTATCTTACTAAACCAAATTTATCCCTGAAACAACTCTGCTGGCAGAGTCACTGGAGTTACACCTGGGAGGAATCTGATGTATTGTGTTTAAAATAGATACTGGATCATTACTGGATAAGTATTTTTAAGCAAATGCATTAACTTAACTGGGGGAGGAGTTAGATACAGTAGAGCCCTTTGTTTCTTTAATTCTGTCCTGCCCTTATCAAGTAAATAATAGAGCAAATACTTAACCTTATCTCTAATCCCTCCTTTTCTTCCTCTGTAAAATAAAGATACCTTTTCTTTATAGTTTAAGCCTTTTACTCCAGCACCTGTGCCACTGAGGTGACACACTAGGGGGCAATCAAATATCACAGTCAGAATATATCTATTATCTTTGCCCATTCTAAGTCAAAGCTTGGCAGAGGTGTGTCAGTGTCTGAGCACAGATCCAGATTAGGATTTTGGCCCTCCCATTATAAAATTCACCCTACCTACAACTGAAGATGCTGCCTTTCTTGGGGGAAAGATGATTCACAGCTTCAGACTGAAAAGGAACTTTAGCTTTCCAGGATTGTGAACATGCAACATGATTTACATTTGTTTCTCCTCTTTAGAGAGTTTCTCTTAAATCTACTGTAGTTCAAGATTGGAGGCTATGCCAAGAGAGGTACTCACTAAAGTGGAAGTAAAAGACTGAAGAACTTATAAAAAACATTTCTAGTGACAGAGTCCTGCAGACTCAAAAACTGCTATAGGAGAAACTAAAGTGGGTGAGGGTAATGAGAGAAAGACAAAACCTGACACAAATAGTAGTAAAAGACAGAAGTGAGGGCAAGGAGAAGCAGGAGCACAAGCAAGGAACAATGAGAAAAAAAAACTCTCAGACAATAATTATAGAATCAGTATCACCTGCCTCATGCAGAAAATGCCATCTCCAGAAAAGCAAGTTCTGGTATTAACTGAGTGTAGGCAGGTGGAATCTTATTCATCTAAGGTAGAAATATCAACACCACTAAAAGTACTGTAGACAGCTGAAAGAACAAAGCAGAGAAAGAGAAAAGAAAACGGAGGCTGCTCAGTGAACTTGTACAGCAGTAATGCACTGCTCCGGCATGTGAGGGACCCAGGTTGTATTTCTACACTTCCAGTCTCTCAGTGGGATGGGAGCAAGGCATGGGAAAAGCCCTCAAATTCTTCTGGCGATTGACTCTTTTTCAGAGAATGCTATCAATTCAGCCATTCCTGGATTTTTTTTTCCAGCAAGTACAGGCTTCAGCCTAACAAAGCTCTTAAACAGGAAAACAAGTCATGGAAGCAGCTCCTGCCCACGCTGGTCCAGGTAAGCTGCTGCACCATGTCTGCTGTGGATGCACAAATCTGGGGGGTGTATCCTGTTCTGCCCCACACCCTCGCACACACTGTGGGGCTGGGGCAGTAGGTTGGGAGTGAGGGACACTGGTAGGGCCAGGAGGCTGTTTTCCACCTAAGCTATTTACTGGGTTGGGACTGGCCATCAATGTTTATCAATGGGTCCTGGTATGTAAGAGGTTGAGAACCACTGCTCTAGTGCACTTTGGCAATAAAAGAATCACTTATGACTTCTAAACTGAAATACCAAATCTTTCACATGCGTGGACTTTGTATACAATTAGTCACATTTGCTAATATTTACTTTTATGGGACTAACTTGGGGCAGATACTAGTTTCAGGTTTGTACAAGTCCTACTGACATTAATATGGACCAGGTTTATGAATCTAAAAGAAGAATCTGACCCAAGAAAACATTTTCTCTGAGAGGAGGGGAGTGAAATAGAGATGCACTATTACTGAGAACAGAGATTTCATGGAATGTGTCCCTGGAGTTCGAATATGTAGGGGGCAATTGCTGTGAGATGCCATTTCCTTGGGGTTGCCAAACAGCAGAGGGTTTCATTTCATGGTGCTCACCTATACCACAGGACATGCTCCTTCCCCTCCCCTATACATGGACTCATCTACCTACCTCTAAGGAAACTGTTATATGTTGCTGCTCCCTGTTCCTACTGCTGTAGCCACTTATTTTTCCAGTTTTTGATTATATTTTGATGAAGAAATTAAAGCACTAAACAAAAATCCTAGAAAAACTGAAGTGACAGGGATCCAGGAGACCCACCCAAGTGAAAAACAAAGGGATTCTGTTTGAGTAAGAAGGAATAGCATTATTTGATGAAAACTTTACCATGAAGATTTGCAGCATATTATAGAGAGCAGACACTTTCACCCTCCTGCCCCACCCACTCCGCCCCCAGGTCTACACACTGTAGAGACCAAGCTTACTCCTTAACTGAGGCTGGGTTTTGTAAACCAAATTATCAACATTAAGGTGATAAGCTTTCTTCTCAAGAGTGGCTTTTCCTTTCATCCTGAAGTTTGTTCTTCCTATAACCTAGGTCAGGGGTAGACAACGTTTTTTGTCCGGAGTGCCAAAAAACACTACAATGCATACCTTGGAAGGTGCCAGAGTGCCAGCCTGGCAGAAAAACAAAACGAGGGCAAGGGGTACATGGCAGGATGCCCTGCTTGTGCCCCTTGTCCTCCACCCAAAGCCCCTGGTCCCCCAGCCCTGCTGCCCCTTGCCCCAAAGCCCCTGCCCCCAGCCCTACTGCCCCTTGCCCCCTAGCCCAGGCTCTGTGGCTGCCAGCAGCTACCCCAGCTCCAGGTAGCTGCTGCCAGCGACAGAGCCCAGGCTGCTCCCAGCAGGGCTTGC